AAATCGTGTCCGATTTCAAAAGGCTTGTTTTTGATACAATCAAGTAGGTAAGGTTTTGTTTTCAAAAAAAGAAAAAACAAACTTGAAGAAGACCTAAAAGATCTGCCGAGGTGTCAAAGAAAATATAGTCTCACTCTCCACCAAACTGGGCCACAATCTTGCGGGCTACCATGTACATACAATGGATTCTACAAGAAACCTGGTGGGACTGTCTGGGGATAGCCCACCATGTCTCGTGAGCGATAGGCGCCGAAGTAAGGCAATGAATTAAGCCATGTTACCTTCGAGGCCTAAACCCTAAACGCCCTAAACCCTAAACCCTAAACCCTGGACCAATGCGACCACTCCGGAAACCGAAAGCTGTCCTGCGTCCAGCCCTGAAACATAGCTGCACGCGCAAGTTCCACGTAGAGCTGTGCCTGCATGCATAGACATCTGGGTTTGGAATTCTGAGGCTTCTGAAGCTTTAGTAGGGATTCTATAGGGGTTCTAGAGAGGTTATAGCGTATATATTGGGGTTGATATGGGGATAATAGCAACCCAGTAGATTTTAACTCAACCTCATAGCTTCTCAGGCCCCTACATAGCAGTTTCCATGTTGTTTTCCATTATCCTTATATAAGCTATATAACCCCAATATATACACTATGATCCCTATATTAGTATAACCTCGATTGATATCCGATAGACATCTGGATTTGGAATTCTGAAGCTAGGGTTTTTGGTTAGGGTGGCATTTCGGTAAGAAATCCGGGGTGAAGCTGGCATTATTGGGGCTTAAAAATCTTGCAAAACAGGGATGACAGACCTCAATCCTTTACAGAACGCTCTGCCTATAGTCGCCCTTACGTAGATCGAATGTAGGGTCTAGGGTTTAGGGCTTATAGCCTATAGTCCGCCCTAAGTAGATAGAATATGGGGTATATGGGGATCTTATTAAAATAAACCCAAAGCCATATTCCATCTACTTAAGGGGGGCTATAATCCTACATACTTCCAACGGGGCATCTAGCACGGATCAATAAGGAATCTCTGTCAGGTCGGAGGGGGTGGGGGCTTGGACCCTAAACCCTAAACCCTGGGGTTAAGTTGTGTTTGAGGTGGGGGGTTCCAAGGACGTGCGGGCTGCATACAGTTTAGGACTCTTAGTTGGGACCTTGGCTGGAGGAGCAGCGTCCAGCAACCCCTACCCCCCTTCCACCCCTCGTCCAAAAGCCAGATGATGTAGACACATGATTAATAAACCCCTTCCTTTGAAGGGCCTTACTATTAGGATCCCTATTATTTTCGGTATCAACAATACCTCTGTGGCAGTTGCGCAAGACTGCGCCCATCACATATGTCCCTGAAGTAAGCAGGGGCCTTCTGATAAAAACCTGGAACAAAAGGGTCGATCTCAAAAGCAAGGGCCTGCTCTTGAAAAACCTTCAAGTTTTGCAGGATATGTGAAGAGTCGCTGTTCTGAGGCTTGCCCAGATTCAGGCTTCTACATATTGTGGGTCATCCAAGGCGATTCTTGACATGATAGGAAGGCTATTCAAAATTCCTGTCCCCAAGTAACCACCCCAATATCCTGCAGAATAGCTGCATAGCCCGACACAGAGAACCTAGGAATTTGAGAGCGCTCTTAGTGAATGGGCAGTTTACACGACCTCGCGGCGGAGGCCTTCCTGTGAATGGCTTGGGATGCCTTAACTTTGCCGACCACCCTAAACCCTAAGCCCTAAGACCCTACACCTTAAGNNACCTTAAGACCCGAAACCCTAAACCACCCTTATGGACGCGCCTCTACGCGAAGCAGCCAGGTACGCTTGCTGTCGCCTAACTGGCGGACTGCGGAGGTGGCGCAATCGGCCTACGGCGCGAACCGGTGATCCCTTTAGGGTTTAGGGTCTAGTAGGGGGTTGCCAAAATTGTGACTCCTTTTTGGGGCTAAAGCTGAGCCTTAAACCCCAACACGTCCTCCCTGAACTGAAGTACTACGACACTGCAGGGAGAAGCTTAGTAGTAAGTTATAACTCGGCTTATAACCCCACTCCTAATTTCAGAAGTACCCCAATTTTAATTGTTGTTTTAGGCCCAGTTCTACGTCGTTACTAAGTCCCAGGGACCGCCAAGCACGCTGCAAAACCAACAACACAGGCTCTTGGGTTTAGGGTTGTGCATTTCTTTTATCGGGTCGTTGTGCATTTAGGGTTCAGGGTTACAGCTGTGGCCGCGAAATCAAACCTACACTCCAAACTAAATCCCTGAATTTAGGGTTTGGGGAGTTCTCAAAACCTAATTTTGGCCCCCCTGACCGGTTGCCCCCCGTCCAGCCTAACCCCAAGACTTCACAGGCCTAGACCCTAAAACCCTCCACCCGGAAGGCGTGGACCCTAATGCCGTAACACAGCTGCTTGAAAACCACAAACAAAAAAACTGAGAGCCTAGAACCCTCACACCTAAACCCTAAAGCCATCTAAACCCTGCCATAGCAATCCTTCACAAATCTTGCACCACCTGAAATTCCCTGAGTCCGCAGAAGCACAATAGATGAAGAAACCTATGCTAACTTTCCGTCATCACGACTACAAGAGCAAAGCCTTAACCCAAATCCTAAACCATAAAGCTGAGACTATACAGTCGGCGCAGCATTAGAAAACTGTTTCCAAATTCTGCCCCAACTGGGCTTCGGAAACCCTGAACCCTAAATCCGAAACCCTAAAACCCTAAACCCTAAAACCCTAAACCCTAAAACCCAAGCACAAGTTGGCAAACCCTAAACGCTAAGATCCGCAAAACCGTGATTGCTACTCCAAGGTTGGCAAGCATCACGTCTCAACCCCCTCTTCAGGGCTTAGGGCTTAGGGTAACAGACCCTAAATGATACTAGGATCCCTGATGCCGCAATATCCCGTAATAATCCGTACTATAACTCAAGGAAAAAATCCGAATTAAGAGATATTGGGCTTTCTGGCCTTTCTGGGGTAATAAACCCCCGGCGCCCCTGGTGTAAACAATCCCTCCTATATCAGAGCCGTAGTCTAAACTTCTAGTATATAAATCCTAGTATCCCACTTAGTAACACCTATGATACTCCCCTATACAATCCCCGAGAGTTTAGACTATAGTATTCATGATGGTACTATATGGGGGTGCGGGGGCTTCCTAGAACAGCGAAAGACAGAGAGAGGGGACTATTCGGAAAGCATGATGTGAGCCCTGGACTAAATTTGTAGTATACCCCTTAATCGGTCCCCCCCAGAACCCTATGTAATCCCCTATGTAGTCCCCCCAACCTAAATTTAGTCCGTAGCTCATCTGGAAACGTGGCTCCCAATCCGCTTGTTCTGAAAACTCGGATTTGTATGCCAGGCTGCATTATTAAAAAACACACACACACAGACAAACATGCGCCCAAAAACAAGTTTCGTAAACGTCCTCCTTCAGAAACGCACAACCCAGAACCGCATCATTCAAAAACCAGGACTCGTAAACCCGGCGTTATTCCCATATCCCTGTATAGTGCCTATATAACCCCTATATAACCTCAGATATTTCTCATACACGCAACCAAAGTTCTCTTTCGGCGATTGGGGCGTAGGGATTCAAGGACAGCTGCTCTGAGGGGTTCGTTGTTTACAGGGCTAAGGGTTTAGGGTTCAAGGAGATTTCCCTGGGTCGCGTTTTCAGTCGGATTTTAACAAGTGCCTCTAGTTGGGTTGCCCTACGGGACCGTGTTCATTAATTGCAAACACCTAATCCTGAAGCTTAAATCCAATCCCTAACACCTACAACCCTGAAACCTAGAACCTAGAGCCTCAAATTGAAACCCCGAAACCTAAACCCTAGCGCCCGAAACCCTCACACCTACCTAAACCCTAACCCCATAAGACGTGTGTAGAAAAGACTTTGAGAAACTTTGTTCGTGAATGAGCCAGAAAGCAAAGCTTTGAAACCCTTTGCCTGCCCCATGTCGAAGTGAGCGCAGCGCTTCAAAAGCGCTTGCCGGGCCTCTGGGTGGGCGTTGGGTTGCGGGGTAGTTACCTTAATACCCAGCATAGACTTCTTGGGTAGGCTATACTAAAGTTCTGCAAGCATTACATGGGGATGATGTTGCTCAGTCTTCACGGCTCTACATTCCTAGGGAGCCAGAAAATTTTCTCCAATCATTCAGGATCTCTAGGCTGACCTGAACCCTGAGCCTGGTTTAGGGTTTAGGATTTAGGGTTTAGGGTTTCCCTGAACCTCAAGCCGTGTCTGGGGAGGGATCCTGGTTGAGTGTTGCGGGCTTGGTGGGGCTTGTGGCATCTATGGGTTAAGGGTGTAAGTAGGGAACTATGAGTTCATCTTGAAATTCTGGATGTACTGTACAAGCTTATGACAACACATGCGAAGTGTGCGGAAGAGACCTCACGTTGAGGTAGTTTTCTGCCTTCCGATAAATGGGGTTTCCCAAAATTTAATTTGAAAGTACCTCTTTGGGGGTCCCAATAATAAGGACTATTGTATATTGGGGTCTATGTTGGGGTCCCTGAACCCTAAACCCTAAAACCAATTTAGGGAAACTACCAAATAGAAGCTAATCGAAGGACCGCTCCGTGAGTGGACACCTTGCTTTGAGTAAGGGTTTAGGGTTTAGGTTTAGGGTATTTATGGTCCCCCCATATTGAGGTGCCAAAATTTATACACCCACCAATATTCCCAGCTTGTTCAGGAAAACCTATGTATACCCACCGAAAAAAAAATTGAAATCTTGTGTCACATGAGGTCAAAAACCCTCGGTGAACTCCAAGACAAAACTTCCAATCTGTAGATACTAGATCCTGAGAATGCAACAAGATGCACAACCTGACCATGGTCTGCCGAAAATACGGTGTATACTGACAATCCTTCAGTATAGCCGATTAAGTTCATGCAGGATTCTTAATATCAACAGTATTGCACGCTCCTAGACCTTACGACAGAAGGACATACGCAGATACTGCAGCTCTCCGAGCAAGCAATGCTCACAAAGCCTCCAGAGAAATCTGGGTGTACCCATCAGCAAGGTCGAACACGCCTAGCTAGCAGCTGAGCACTGAACACATGACAGGGTTTAGGGTAGTCGTACAAGCTTTCATTCAGTCCTGGCTTCTCCAGAGGAATGGTTGTGGTAGTAGCAGTAGTAGTAGTAGTAGTAGTCGTCGTCGTCGTAGTAGTAGTAGTAGCAGCAGTAGTAGCAGTAGTAGTAGTAGTAGGAGTATGAGTAGGAGTAGGAGTAGGAGTGGTAGTATTGTTATTATTACTATTATTATTAGTAGTAGTAGAGTAGTAATAGCAATAGTAGGAGTAGTAATAGTAGGAGTAGTAGTAGTAGTAATAATAGCAGTAGTCGTAATAGTAGTACTAGCAGTAGTATTAGTAATAGTAGTAGCAGTAATACTAGTAATAGTAAATGTCCTTGTTGTTGTAGCTAATACGTTTACCGCTACGCGTACTGCTACTGCTACTCCCTCCCCTACCGCTGCCGCTGCTGCTGGTGCTGCTCCTACTCCTAGTCCTGTTACTATTACTAAGACTGCTGATGCTACTGCAGCTACGACTGCTGCTGTTACTACGAGTACCACTACTACTTCTGCTGCTACTGCTCCTCCTCCTCCTCCTTTTCTTCCTCTTCCTGTTGCCGCTGCTACAGCCACCGCCACTGCACAGCTAATGCTACTGCTTCAAGCACTCCTGCGACTCCTGCGACTACAACTCCGACTACTGCTACTGCTTCTAGTGCTACTACTACTGCTACTACTACTACTACCACCACTACGACTACTACTACTACTACTGCTACTATTATTACTACTACTCCTGCTGCTGCCGCTACCAACACGAGGAAAACTACGTCGACTGTCGCGACTTCTACAACTACTACGACTACTACCGCGACCGCGACGAGTACGGCTACCGGCCGCAGTACATGAACGCTCCCACATGCCCGCTCTGCTGCTTCTAATCGCATACACCTTGGTGTTTTTCAGATTCTTCAAGATTCAAAATGAGACTTTGACTAGCGTCCAAGTCACTGCCCAAGTAATATTTTCTCTCTTGATGAAGGCAAATTGGTAACTGCATATCAGGAACATCCAAAAACAACCTCCGACAGCAATGAAACTATCTTGCAAGTGCAACAGAGCTGCCCCTGTCATGACAAGCTTGGCGGTAGATCAATCTCTCCTCTGCCGTGTGCTCTATCAGCACTTCATGCTCCTGCGGTGTGAGCATGGCTTCTTCTTTACGCTTAGAAGAGACTTAGTCAATAGGCATTAAGTGGAGCTTTAGCAGGCAAACCCCAGGACTTCCAACCCATTCATGGCCTGCTCACCAATTCCTTTGAGCCCTGACGTATAGAAGACCGAATGATCATCAATAGTATTCACGAACAGTTCTCATGTAACCATGATGAACTATACCCCAAAACTTATTCACATCGAAAGGAAACACTCTTAGGAGTTCCTCCCCATCATAATGAAACATCCTCCCTACCCCCATCCCCACATTAAACATGCTCCTCTTTACACAATGTCTCTTATAACAAATGGACATCTACAATTAGAAGGTGGGGTATGTTTAGCGTTGGGGAAGGAGGCGGAGGCCTCACTAACGCCCCCAACTCAACAGTTGAGGATCACAGATTGCAAGGCTTCAAATTACGCCAACTTGCGATAACCACAACCAAACCCCCTGTTACAGAAGCGTGTCATAACGGAAAAAGTATGCAATTCTTGAATTCGAGATCAGCTGGTCACTACGACATGCCGTAAACATGGAAGGTCATTGGCAGTAGCTTGCCAAACAATGACCTCCCAATCTTTGAGACATGCTGGTATCAAGCAATGCAGTGTACATCATGCCACTGGAACCACCACAACTGCAACTACGACGCGAGCAGCAGCAGCAACCAGCACCGCCGCCGCCACCATCACCAGCAGCACCGGAACCGGTACCGAACAAGCACCCGAACCGGCACCGGCACCAGCAGCAGCAGCAGCACCAGCACCAGCACTAGCAGCACCA